GTGGTTGGGAGTGCCCGTCTGTTGGCTTCTTCGAGGCTCGGGCAGCGAGGCTTTGCAAAGCCTCGGGGAAGCCGGCAGCGGAGCAGCCCAGGCACGCCTGGGCTGCCTCGCTGCCCGAGCCCCTCCGCAGCTTTGCAAAGCCTCGGGGAAGCCGGCTGCCCCACTGCCCGAGCCCCCCCGCGGCTTTGCTCCGCGTCTTCCTGGTCTGCAGACCAGGGAGACGCGGAGAAAGCCCCGGCGTACACGGGCGGCAGGACCGCAAGGTCCCACAGTCCGTGTCCTCCGGGGGAGCCCCGTTCGTAACTGCAGATCCGACATAAGTCGGATCCGCGTAAGTCGGGGACTGCCTGTATATTTAGAAATAATGGTGCCCTCAAAAGACATGGAATAGCTATTTTGGGATACCTCCGGTATCCCGAAATAATAGTGAAGTGTAGATGTAGCCTAAAGTGCCACAAGACTACGCATCGTTTTTAAAGTTTTAGACTAACACAGCCACCCGTCTGAGACACTTGAATTCTTTGATGTGTTAATTCCGGTCTCATCCAAGCAATAACAATAACAACAACTTTTTCTGTGTTAGCTTTTCAGTTGGTTCAAGTTCATTAAAACAACATAGAAGAATAGAATATGCCTCTAACTTCATGTTCCAATAAGTTTGTCTCTTTCACACAATAGTTTGTAAATGAAAAAGCGCTAGTAATATTTACAAGGAATTCTAACTGTTCTAACAGAAGCATTACTGTATTATACCTAAAATTGGTATGACTCCTCAGCACCACAAACCTGAAACTCCAGTCATGTTTGCTGAAAAGTTCATTGAGAGCTTTTTAAGTAACATTTTGGTTGAGTCTGGGTTGAACTTCAGGCAGCAGTCAAGGATTAATAGTTGTTGTGTGGAACAGCGATTAGCTCAGCAGCATTGTATGGTTTTGGTGTGGGTATTTATAGTAGCTGTGGCTCCCCTTCTTCTCCTTCATGGGCTTCCTGACCTTCAGCAACCCTTTTCTGTTCTCAGAGGTTGAGATAGTAAAGTTTTCATAACACAAAGGAATTAGCATTCCCAGCTTTCACAATTTTAAATCCTGAGAAAGTACTTTTCATAAAGCCCCATATCCTGGAGTCATGTTAACTATATGAGAATCTCACTATTTTTAGTAAATTTCTACCTCTTATGGCTGCAAAGAAAAACTTAAAAACATGACCCAAGTGTATCCTAAAAGCTGAAAAAAACCAGAAGGAAAATGGACAGAAGCCCACATTTAGTGTGTGTGTCTATGTGTATATATAACATATATAATTTAAACTAATGTCACTGTTTTTAGAGGACCTGACATAAGATTTGTAAGTGCTTCAAGTTGATAACATTGAATTAGGGTTCGAAGTATAGTTGAGAAGCTTAAAGGTGCATGAGGAGGGGCTATGCTATGGTATAGAAGTATAAATGCACGCGCATACAGTTCTATTTGAAAATGTTTGAATTGTAAAGGGTATGGCTGCAAAATGTTAATGTAATGCTGCACACTGTAGAATTCTTTTAACAGATAAAATTAAAATGTGCATAATTATAGGGCAAAATGTCAAGCAATCACTTTAATTTACTGATGAATACACCGAATTAATGTTTTGCAACAGTTCCAAGATTTTGAATTATGAATTAGTATCAAGATAATATTTTGTTTTGTTGACAATTACTGAAACTGTTTGATTATTCATTTGGAATGTGCCTTTGCCTGCAGGTGGATTTTGCCTTCACAGTATGGCAGAGTTTTCCAGAGAGGATTGTAGGGTACCCTGCTCGCAGTCACTTTTGGGATAATACTAAGGAGAGATGGGGCTATACATCCAAATGGACTAATGACTATTCCATGGTATTGACAGGAGCTGCTATTTACCACAAGTAAGAAGCCAAAGCATCTTTGTCTTTTATCATGTTCATGATTTTTTATTTTTTATTTGTTATTGAAGGTGCTAAATAAATGTATTGTTTCTGACCCAAAGAAGGAATGAAAATTTTATTCCCTCCCCTCCCCCAAAAAAAAAAAAAAAAGGGAGGTAGGGAGGTACAAAAAAAAATCTATTGGAAACAAAGATCACAAATAGATGGAGCTCTACTCTGTTGATAGAGCAATTATTTAAATTCCCAGTTTGGCTCTGGAGATCTTGTAATCATAAGTGTGTTCCCTGGATTTCCTTTGAAGTACTTGTATTTTGAGGCAGTTTAACATCAGGAATTGTGTACTTCAAAGAAGCCCAAAATGTATTCAATTCCTGGGCCAAGTAGCCTCTAGCACAGAGGAGTGAAGTAGCTGACTGTCATAGCTGGTAGACCTGCTAACAGTTCCAGCTACACTTGACTCTTTGTTGCAGCAACACCTTGAGTCGTAGATAGGAGGCCTCTCTTACCTTTTAATAAAGTCAAATTACACTGCTGTATCCGTTTCATTCCCCACAAAGGAAGCAGCAGACGCTGGGTAAAATAGGATCTTGGTTGTGAAGACCGTATTGGGCCATAATCCATTTTTCTCTCCAATCACACGTGTTTCTTTTTCTTGCTTCCACCTGTTTTTCCTTACAGTTACCTAACTTGGCTTAAACAGTGCATGTGGACTGGTCTGAAATCTTGTCTTCCATTATCTTGCTTATGATTGGAAATCAGCCCTACTTCTTTCCCGCTACTGGACCAGTGGTGTTTTTAATTCTTATATCCTGAAAATCTTTGAGGATCCTGCTTTTTCCTCCCCACTTTTCTGATTTGGAGGATGAGGCAACAAAAACCCCATGCAGTGTTCCCTGTAAGCTGGGTGCTTGGATAACCACCCAGGAGAGATTCAAATGCTGCCCATATGATTAGCAGAGCACCCACAGCCAACAGCATGTGTTTCTACTGGTAGTGCACATCTGCATGTGCATCTGTGCACATACAATTTATTCTGCAAAAGGATGGAAAAAATAGGGAGAACATTGGTTTCATGATGTGCCCATGGGCCTCAACTGGGATTCAAATCCTGTGGCATCCATTTGTCCCAGTAAGGCCAGCAGTGCTATAAGTGTTTTTATAGTGGGGGTGCTGAGAGCCATTGAGCCAAATTGGAAGCCCTGTATATAATGGAAACCACTTCAGGCTAGAGGATGCTACAGCACCCCGTGCACCTGTAGTTCTAGCACCTGTGAGTAAGGCAAAATCTTGCATTAATGCCTCTGTTGTTGGCTTTCTAGATATTATCACTACCTGTACACTAATTACCTGCCTGCCAGCCTGAAGAATATGGTGGACCAACTGGCCAATTGTGAAGACATTCTAATGAATTTTTTGGTGTCTGCAGTGACAAAATTGCCTCCAATCAAAGTAACACAGAAAAAACAGTATAAGGAGACCATGATGGGGCAGGTACGTGTTTAAAGTATGTTTGATCTGCTGAGTCATCTTGGTAAAATCACCGTTAGCTTCCGGACTAAGCCTGTTTAGTAGGAGTCTTCTGGGCTGAATGAGATTCTACTTGATTGTTCGTGACTCCTTGGTTGATAAACTCATGAATGGAACTGGGAATATTTTTAATGAACCAATGGCAAATCCAATTATAGAGATGGCAAATGTCTGCCAGTGGAAAGCAACATCCTCTCCCTCATTTTCCCATATTGTTTTCATTTTTCATAGCAATCGTAAACTCATGCAGTGGACTTTGACAGCTGACTTTCAGTTAAGAGAATTCCAGTTTTCTAATTAATAGTATAGGTGCAAGCCTATTGTGCCATTCTGAAGGTTTTTACATTCATTAATAATCATGTAAATATACCTAGCAATCTCTGTGCTATTTAAAAATAATATTGTATTCTCAATGTAACTGGAGCAGTGTTCCTAAACTAGGTCACAACAGACGTAATTTGTTATTTTTAAATGTTTATTTCACGTTGCTTTCTTAAGGAGTGAAGGAAGAACCATCCATATGCTGTTATATTTGTCTCGCTGTTGACATAATATGATCAATAGCTGCTGTCGATCCTAGGCAAATTCTGTGTTTTAGAATTCATTTTCATAGTGAGCAGATTTGCCTTTTCCAGCTACTAGTTCAGGATCCTGTCTCCTAAAAGGAATCCCATTCTATAACCCAAAAACTTTGCAAGCATGGTGTTTTGTTGTTCTTGCTTTGCATAAGTGAGTCATGGGGGGTCAAAGAAATAGAGTGCCCCTAGCATATTTGTGCAGGAGGCAGCCCATGGCCAGAGCTGCTATTGTGTTGGGCAGAAGAAAGGGGACCAGCACTACCATCAGTACTACACACCAGAAAGAATATATTATAGCATGAGCTTTCATTGGTAAATCTCACTTCATCAGGTTTTACCCATAAAAGCTCATGACCTAATATGTTTTTTAGTCACCAGGTGCCACAGGACTGCTCATAGTTTTTCAAGTTACAAACTAACACGGTTCCCCCTCTGTTCCTAAAACAGGTTATTCCTGTATGGTCCTTATTCATAATCCCTTCAAAGAAAAATAAAAATGAACCTAACAGAATTTTAAGATTATGCCACCGACTGATAGACATATGGAAATTCAATGCTAATGGTTGAAACTCTTTTATAATCCTCTAGCACACTTTACCTACTCTGCCCTATTGTGAATATGGATAACTGACTGTTTGGGATTAGTACACTTTGGGTGTGTCTAGACTACAGAGTTTTGTCGACAAAAGTGGAGTTTTGTCGACAAAACTATACCTACGTCTACACTACCGCTGAGTTCTGTCGACATAACGTCGACAGAACTCAGCAGTTTTGTCGACGCTGGTAAACCTCATTTTACGAGGCATAACGCCTTTTGTCGACAGAGTTCTGTCGACAGAAGGTGTTATTGCATCTAGGGTTGTGTCTAGACTACAGGGTTTTGTCGACAAAGCAGCTTGCTTTGTCAACAGAACTGAATGTAGTCTAGACGCTCTTTGTCGACAGAAGCTTTGTCAACAGTATCTGTCGACAAAACTTCTGTCGACAAAAGCCTGTAGTCTAGACGTACCCTTTGTAATCTACCATTACTCTTGCCAGTCTTGCTGACTCTGTCATTGTTTTAACATTTAATGAACACACTTTGAGGTTATGCTGTTTAAAAGTTTTTTAGTACAGTACAAACAAAAGTGAAGTGCCATGCAACCATGGCACAAAATAGACTTTAAAGATACTTTCTGAGCACTTATAGTCTGAGGTTTCAAAGAATTGTTTTGGTTTGAGTGGGTTTCTGCGTACAGTTAGGTATGTTATTTTCCAAATAGAGAACAACAATTCATTCAAAGCTTTTAGGGCCTAGTTTTCAGAGGTGCTGAGTACCTGTAGCAGTTATAAACATTAATGGGATTTGTGGATGCTCAGTGCGTCTGAAAATAAGACTGTTTAGTATTTTAGGTAAATACAAAATAGGACATTCATTTTCTAATTTTGAGAAGTGCCATATGACTAGCATGACCTGATGGAATGTAATCATTTCTGCTATTCCAGTTTATTTCCTCTACTTCTCTATTCAAGTGTATTGTGCTGGCTCCATCCACTCTGCTATCTGAGCACTTCTAGTCTCCATTTATTTTCAGACAACATTCTCAAGCCCGAATGATACCAACGCTTAGACACCTGAGTGAGTTTTTGCATGAAGAAGTTCTACTGAATTTATGAACTCAGTGGAATTACTCATGTGCTAAGGTTGCAGGACTGGGCCTTCAAAATGAATGTTTGACCTGACAAACTATAATGGTGTTTCTATGTTTATCAATTAGAGCACAGTCCTGTGAGGTGCTCTGCATTCTCCACTCAAATTGACTCCAGCATCTACTCTCAGAATTTGCAGCTCTGGCTATGGGCGTTTTATGGCCTCCTACAGGTTTTATAGACCTCAGTGACACCTGGCTTGAGCTATTAGTTTGGGGGCCTGTGGGCCATTTTGAAGCTCTTACATAAGCTCTCTGGCTAGTCAGGCTGCCATGTGTGCCCATGGATGACAAGTGTTAGATTATAGCTTGAGGTTGCACCATTAGCTGTGACATTTACACCCTGAGTGGCTTGACCTATTTTGAAGAGTCATGTCTTCTTCTTTTTCTTGTTCACAATCACAAATATTCTTGGAGTTGGGTTTTAACAGAGATACTAAAGCAATGCTTTAGCGTATTTCAGGGGATTTATCCTGACGTATTTCTGTTCTAAACCAAAAGACTTTGAATGGTCACAGAGGTGAAGGCACACACTACCTATCATGTTGACCACTATTGTCTCATTATTTTCTTGTACTCCCTCATCTGTCTGTATGCATCTCTTCTCTTGCTTTCCTCTTAGACCAGGGGTGGGCAAAAGTGCCTGCCACCCCTGGCCAGTCAGGGTCTGGGGACGGAGGAGAGCGCAAAGTTTCCTCTGCCCTGGCTCCGCCCCATGAGGAGCACGCAGCACTTAGCACCTGATTGGTCTGGGGACAGGGAGCACGCGAAACCTCCTTCTGCCCCGCCAGGAGCGCGTGGCGCTTTTAAGCACCATGCAGGGTGGGGACAGAGCAAGGGAAACTTCACATGCTCTCCCCGCCCCTGATTGGCCTGGGGGGGCAGAGCATAGGAAGTCTCCTCCCAGCCAGGGGCATGGGCACCTAGGAGAGGGTGGGGACAGGCAAGCAAAGGCTCACCCCCAGACTAATCATGGTCGGGGGTGGGGAACCCGGAAGTATCCTGGTCCCACCCCTTGCGCTTGAGGCCCCGTCCCTTCAAAAAATTTTGAAGTGGCCCCCGGCAAAAATTATTGCCCACCCCTGTCTTAGACTGTAAGGGTATATCTACACAGCAGCATTATTTTGGAATAACTGACATTATTCTGAAATAACATAGTGTGCGTCTACACTACAAAGCCCTTATTTTGAAATAGTGCCGAGCTAGAGGACTTCTCACTGTGACTTTTGATAACCCTCATTTCATAAGGGGTAAGGGAAGTCGAATGAAGAGTGTTCCTCTTTCAACTCCCTGCTGTGTAGACAGCACCAAAAGGTGAGAGAAGCTGTTTCAACTTCAGCTACACAATTGAGGTAGCTGAAGTTGCATAGCTTAATTTGACTTTAGCCCTGCTGTGTAGACGTACCCTAAGTTCCTTGGGGCAGGGATTGTCTTTCTCTTTGTTTGTATTGCACCTGGCACAATAGGCTCCTGGTCCATGGCTCAGGCTCCTAGGCAACACTATAATACAAGTAATAAATCATAAGTCAGCCAGCTGTTACTAAGGTCAGATTGATCCATGTGGTTTGGACCATATGGTTTGGAAAGATGTATTTCTTACCAAATTTCAGCCCAATGTTGAGGTTTTAGACCTGGTGCTGCCTCGGTAACCCTTTGCCTCCAACCATTTACACAGTGTTGTTGATCTGATGACTTAGCATTTCCTTTCTCTCTATCCAGACTTCCAGGGCTTCCCGCTGGGCTGATCCAGACCATTTTGCCCAGCGGCAGAGCTGCATGAACACTTTCGCCAGCTGGTTTGGCTATATGCCGCTGATCCACTCTCAGATGAGGCTTGACCCTGTCCTCTTTAAAGATCAGGTCTCCATCCTGAGGAAGAAATATCGAGACATTGAACGACTTTGAGAAGCCCTGCTGAGAGGACTGAACTGTTTTTCATGCCCAGTGTAGATCCACTGACACTTGGAGTCAAACTGTGCTGAGGACAAAAACACACACAAGTGGAAAGCAGATTTGTGTAGCTCCAAGGAATCATTGTGCTGGACTGCTTCAAACCACCTCCCAGGCTTCTGTCGTTCAAGACTAGGTTGTGTACAGTTTCATTATGGAACATTAAATAATTATTTTTGAAATGATTGCTATGCAGGTTAAAACTTTTTTAATGATCAAAAAACCCACAACTATTAAAAACAGAGTTCTTTCTTTAATCAAAATGGTGTTGGGTGTGAATATTTCATAGGTGCCATTCCTTTCTTACAAACATTCAAAGCTGCCGCTGCTTTCTTGCAAGCATTTTGATATCATGGCAGGGAAAACTAAATGAGAATTACAAAAAAGTTTGTTCTCACAGGTAGAAAATGCAGCAGTTTAAAAAAAACAAGCTTAAACAGGGCAGAAATTAACATTGTTTCACTTAATGCCTTTTTTATTTTATTTTATTTTTTAATTTTCTCTTTCATTGCTCAAGTCAATGACAGGAAATGTATCAACCATTCTATTTCACAGAGGGAATGCTGAAGAATGTCCATATAATGAAGCATAATTAAGATCCTTCTGTTTAGGGAACAAAGACAATTAAAACCTTTTTTTTTTTTAAATAGGGAAATAAAGATTGATGCCTAGGAAATACTAGTCAATTGTCTGATTTGCACAAATAACAATACAGGAAGGAAGTCAAAGAGAGGAATACAATGTCTTTCAATGGATTCTCCCATCAAGGTGTGGCAGGAGTTCTGTTTTAATTTTATACCTGTTACTAATGGAGGAAAATATAACAGCTGTTGCTACAGTTTGCATGAGTTGCATAAACTACAGCTTGAGCTTGAGTTGCTCTTCTTGTGCAAGAGAGAATAGGTACCATGGTGGCACTATTTGTGTCACAATTGTTAAGGGTCTATCAACATTCCCATTTTAATCCCCTTGTTCTGAAGGGGGATGGGAGGAGTAGTATGTTGATGTTAAAAGGACAAAAAGAGTGTTTTCTGGACTAGAGCTTGGCTTACAAGGACTTTGCCTGGAACCACTTGTATCAAAGAGAATCAAATCAGTCTAGGTATTTTGTAGTGGCAGGAATGAAAACAACTGGACAGATGACATCCTGTAGTTGGTATCTGGAGTAATTCTGTTTGGTGGCAGTAGTAACTTCAGATTTAACCCATGGTAACTCAAGGTACAAGCTAGCCCAAAGATACAAATGGTAGTTCCCAGGTGCTTTTCTGTACTCCTTATAACTCACAAATGGTTTTCTCATGTCACACAGAATCGTTTCATTTATTTATGGCATAGTGTGAACTAGTTATATGTATCTTTAAATTGTGGGAATAAAATAAAAACACTGCTGTAAGCTAGAAAGAAGCGATTACAATCTAATGGACAAATAAGCACTTTTATAAAATGTTTTAACTGTCACACATTTCCCTGAGATATCTCTGGGGTATTTGATAACCACTCACGAAAAACTGTGTTTAACATAACAGCAAGAAGGTCTACTTTGGCCCCAGATAAAACCACTACGGAGCATTCCTTACCTCATGCCTTTGTATCTAGACAGTTGATACATAGGCAGGAGAGAGCATGTTCTCATAGAAAGAGAGTAATGATGGTTTGGGTCAGGATTACTGGATTCTATTTCTAACTCAGCTTCCGATTTGTCACATGGCAATGGTCAAATCACTTAATCTGCTGTGTGCCTCAGTTTATCTTTCTGTAAAATGGACATAGTAATGTTTGCCTCATGGATGGGGTGATTTAAGTTTCATTAGCGCTTGTAGCTACATATATAAGCTCTTTAGCAGAAAGATATAGAAGTGCAAAATACTATTACTATTTATTAGCATGTGATCTCCTATTGCTTTCCATATGAACCGCAATAGCCAAATACAATACAGTGAGTTGGGGGCTGAGTGCTCAAGTTCCTGGCTGTGGTGTTTAAGTCTGAGCCAAAACCCATACAGGACACTGTAAGGCTTTTTGAACTTTCCTTAACTCTAATTTTTGCAGTTGCCAATTAGGGAGCAAGGGACCAAACTTTGTTAGCCTGATTTTTCAAAAGTGCTGATCACCCAACTGCTCCCATTGGATCTCCTCTCTTTTGAAAATGAGGCCTCTCATTTAGGTGCTAAAATGTAGCCTAGCCTTAAGGTGTTCATTTGTGAAATTTTGTCCTCTTGCTCAAAGAGTGGGCAAGCTTAGCACAGCTCCTATTTTGCCTGTTTTGTTTGTGGACAAGCACTTGGCTGTTTCAGCAGCTCGCTCTGGGAACTAGTTAATTGGTCTCTAGTCAGCAGGAGAAGTACCTGAAGGTGGGTTTTGGGGGAGAGGGTGTTAATTCATTACAGGCGTTCCCCGACTTACAAACAGGTTACGTTCCGAATAGCTGGTTGTAACTTGATTTGTTCGTAAGTCGGAAATACCCCATTTGAAACACTCGAAGCGTAACCAACAACACAACAATCAACAACGAAAAATAGAAACACACAAAAAAAAAACAACTCTACTGCAGCAACAGCAAACTTTATTTAACAAACATGAACATGAAATACAAAACACAATGCAGTAATTTAAATACAGTAATGTGAATTGAATTAATTGGATGAGGAATCGGAGGAGTAAAAATCTACAGTAAGAACATCATCAACAGATTCTATTTCAGCAGTTCCTTTGCTTGTAGAAGGCATTGGTTCAGTATTGGAGGCAGCACTGCTAGGGACTTTCTTTAAAAATATCCATTTTTGACTGGACAGTTTGTTTTTTCTTCTCGTTATAAATTTCCTTATAGCAAGCCAGGGCATCCTGAATTAAACAATCCACCTTTGAGAATCTCGCAACATTAGGGTCCATTTTTTTAAACATTTGCATTCCTTCATTTATTTTGCTGAAAGCTGCAGCCATTTCTTTCATCACAAAGCTTTTTGGGGCTGCTTCTTCTTCTTGGGCTGTTTGTCTCTCTTCCTTTGCTACCCTCTCTGCCTCAAGCTGCAGTAAATCTTCATTGCTCAGCTCCTTCCCAACATCCTCAACCAGTTGGCGTATGTCTTCATTATCCATTTCCAGATCCACTTCTTTCGCCAGCTGTACAATGTCTTCTAGTTCCTTTTCTTTTTCAAACCCTTTGAAACAGTTCACAAATCTTTTTAGGATCTTCTTCCATATGCCATTCAGACATTGTGGAGTGACTTCTTCCCACCCTGCAGCAATGTTCCTTATGCAATGCAGAATGTTGTAGTCCTTCCAAAATTCACGGTACTGTTTTGCCGTTTTCGCATTCTGTGGCAGCTACTGCCTTTCATAGAATCATAGAATCATAGGACTGGAAGGGACCTCGAGAGGTCATCGAGTCCAGCCCCCCGCCCTCAAGGCAGGACCAAGCACCGTCTACACCATCCCTGACAGATGTCTATCTAACCTGTTCTTAAATATCTCCAGAGAGGGAGATTCCACCACCTCCCTTGGCAATTTATTCCAATATTTGACCACCCTGACAGTTAGGAATTTTTTCCTAATGTCCAATCTAAACCTCCCCTGCTGCACTTTAAGCCCACCCAATGTTTTATAAGATAGTGGCAACCGATGTTGAACACCATACTGCTGAATATATGGCATTCCATATGGAAGAAATAATGACAGAAATAGGCACTGAACAATTTGGTGCTATTGTCACTGATAATGCTGCAGCAATGGTAAAATCCTTATCAATGTTTAACGAAAAATACAATCACATTGCTGTGTACACTTGTGCTGCTCATACACTAAATTTGTTAATTGGTAACATCAGTAACTTAAAATCTGTTCAAGAAACCGAAGCTACCTATAAAACTATTGTGAAGGAAATTAACAAATAGCAAGTTTTA